TGACATGCGTCTAGGTCATCTTAGTGAACATGGGATGACGGAATTGCATAGATGAAACTTGTTACATGGTGTTAAAAGCTGCAAGCTCAATCTTTGTCAGTTCTGTGTGCTTGGAAAACAAACTAGAGTCAGATTTATGACTGGAAAACACAAAATTGAAGGAATTATTGATTATGTGCAGTCTGATGTATAAAGTCCTACAAGAGAATCGTCATTGGGAGGATCTTTGTATTTTGTTACATTTATTGATGATTTATCCAGAAAAGTTTGAGTGTATTTCTTGAAGCAGAAATCTAAAGTCTTCCCTAAATTCAAGCTGTGAAAACTGAGGTGGAGAATCAAACTGACAGAAAGATCAAATATTTGAGATCTGATAATGACACGGAATACACAAATTCGCAGTTTCATAAATTTTGTGAGGAGCATAAGATTCAGAGGCATTTTTCAGTGCGCAAGACACTACAGCAGAATGATATGACAGAAAAGATGAACATGTCCTTAACTGAAAGGGCAAGATGTTTGAGACTGAATGCAGGGCTTCCTAAGAGTTTCTAAGCAGATGCTATGAATATGACATGCTATATCATCAACAGATCACCTCGGACATTGTTAGGTGGCAAGATTGCAGAAGAGGCATGGACAGATAATCCACTTAATTTCGATCATGTCCGAATTTTTGGTTATCCTGCTTATGTACATGGAGATAAAAGATCAAAACTTGATGCAAAATCCAAGAAGTGCATCTTTCTAGCTATAAGAAAGATGTGAAAAGATACAAATTTTGGGATTCGATTGCAAAGAGGATGGTGATCAATAGAGATACAGTTTTTTATGAACAGTTCATGTTGCAACAGAATCAAGACAGCGTGCCAGAGACCAGTTCTGGTTTAGATGCAGTGCAGATGAATTTAGAACAACATAAAGAAACAACTGAGAGAGTTGAATGTTCAAATCCAACACTTGGTAATTCCATTCCAGATGATCTGCAGAATTATAATCTAGTCAAAGACAGACAAAGACACATCAATATAAGACCTCATAGCATATTGAGTTATAAAGACTATGTCTTTTATGCACTTCTCATCAATAATGATGACCCAACCACTTTTCAAGGAGCTATCCCAAATGGATGAGTGCAATAATTGAGGAGATAGAGTTTTTGCAGAAAAATCGCACATCGGAGCTAGTTCAGTTTCTTGAGGGAAAGAAGACTATTGGGTGCAAATGAGTGTACAAAAGGAAACCAGCAGTATCAGAAAAAGAAGGGGAAAAGTTCAAGGCTCTACTGGTAACAAAGGGATTTTCACAGCAGAAGGGGATAAATTATGATGAAAATTTTTCTCCTGTGGTAAGACATAATTCAATCAGAACAATGCTTACATTAGTAGCTATTTGGGATTTGCATTTAGAGCAGATGAATGTTAAAACTGTTTTCTTGCATGGTGATTTGGAGGAGCAGATTTATATGGAACAGCCAGAAGAGTTTGGTGATTTGGAGGAGCAGATTTATATGGAACAGCCAAAAGAGTTCACTCAACCTGGACAGGAGCATCTGATTTGCAGATTAAAGAAATTATTGTATGGGTTGAAACAGTCTCCAAGACAATAATACAAACGATTTAACTCCTACATGATTCAGATTAGCTACAAGCGATGTAAGTATGGTTGTTGTGTTTATGTGAAGAGACTTGATGATATGCCGATTGTTGCAAAGAATATGAATGTTGTTCGTGGTTTGAAAGCTTTATTGAGCCAGGAATTTGACATAAAAGACTTGGGTCTTACGAAGAAGATTCTTGAAATAGAGATTCATCGAGATAGACACTTAAGACGATTATGTTTATCTCAACGAGATTATGTTGAGAAAGTGTTGGATATGTTTGAGATGAGCAAAAGAAAGCTTGTGAGCACTCCATTGGCAAATCATTTTAAACTTTCTTCAGAACAGTGTCCTAAGACAGATGCAAAAATCGAAGACATGGCAAAAGTTTCATATGTCAGTGCAGTTGGTTGCTTGATGTATGCAATGACATGTACTCATCAAGACAACTGTGTTTATCTCAATGAGTCTGTAAATACATGTCTAAACCTGGAAGGTGATGATGGGAAGCAATCAAGTGAATTTTCAGGTATCTAAAGGGTACTTTGGGAAGCAATCAAGTGAATTTTCAGGTATCTAAAAGGTACTCATGAAATTATTTTTGGCAGTCAACAGAATGATCCTTCAGTTGGGGGGTATGTTGATTCAGACTATGTAGGTGATTTGGATGACAAGGTCTACAACTGGATGTATGTTTACTCTTGGTGGAGGGCTTATATGTTGAAAATCAACAATTCAGTATATTGTGGCATTATCTACAATTGATGCTGAGTACATGATAATAGCTGAAGTTGCAAAAAAAATCTTATGGCTTGTTGGGCTAGTAAAAGAACTGGGCATTGAGCAAGTTGAAATTTAGTTGCATTGTGACAGTCAGAGTGTTATTTATCTGGCTAAGAACTAGGTGTACTATGCGAGAGCCAAGAATATTGATGTCAGCTATCACAATATCAAAGAATTGATTGTTTCTGATGAAATACTGTTGCAGAATGTTCATACCGATGAAAATGCAGCTTATATGATGACCAAGTCAGTTACTATCAACAAGTTCTTGCATTGCTTAGGCTTGTTGAATATTTGCAGTTGCTAGAGAAGCATGGCGACCCAACCCACTTCAGTGTGTGAGAAACTCCATGATGCATTTCTCCTGAGTTGATATTCGCCAAAGTGGACATTTATTATGGTATGACTCATATATCATATAAGAGACAGACGCTGAAACGAAGCGGAGCGGAGCGGAAGAATCTGCCCAATCGAAAGAGTTTCGTTATGTGGGTTGGGGGTCCGGTGGCAATGACCAGCGGTAAGGTACATTGGTAATTTGGGAATTACATATTGTACTCCAGGGTTTTCTCTAAGGTTATATATGGGTCTGTTTGTAACCCTAGGTCATTATATTCTGTATTATGTAATCTTTTCTGGAATTGAAAAAAGGTCGCTACTCTGCTCCCGATGACATAGACAACTTTGTCGAACCTCGTTAAATCTTTGTGTGTTCTTCTGGATTTGTGTCTATTCCTATTTTTCTTCGCCCCAATTTCTCAACAAATTTGTTTGTAGGCAATGCACTAAGCTATCAACAAGAATCACACGACAAAATAGAATAAAAAAGAGGGAGAAAAAAAGAGAGAAACCATCTAACACATTACCAAATGAATCACAACACACGACCTCAATATCTTGAACTTTGTCCATCAAAATTCTCTGACTTAGTAATTATAAGTTCGAATTGAAGGTTTTAACGCTGCAAGGACAACTATTTCAGAAAGTAAAAAAAATATTTAAGTCGATGAGGTTTGTAGCCAAAATGTACATAAATACATGTGGATAGATGGGGCAATTATTGGGGGAATCCATCATCAGGATAATTGAAGTCGTCGATTTACTAGGGTAAGATTTCAGCTTGGCAGATAAAAATATAGACTGGTGGGAGAAGATGCCAACTTACTGGCTAGCCAAATGAAATTTGAGGAAGTAGCTTCTGACCATTAGCAAATGTTCAAAGTCAAACCTTCGGCTGAGTACACTGTCGAGTTCTTTGCGACCCTAGCAAAGTTCATTCTCTCTCTCTCAAATTTATTACAATTCTGATGAGTTCAACATGATTTTAATGAGTTCACCATGGTTATTACAGCTCCAACGAGTTGATTATGCTCTAGAAGAGGCATCAAGATCCAGATTGACTTTGTTTAAATCATAATCTTGAGATATTTAGATGTGCAAAAGGAAAGGGAATTGATTCCCACACAGAAAGAGGTGCAAGTCATCAATTCTAAATAATCCACTTTATGTTTCTAGAATTGGATCCAACAACATTTTTTCTAAATCATTCCAGTTGAACAAGACATGATCTTGATCGCCCAAATAAATTGAATGATAGGAATTTGATGAAGTGCAGCTCTATAATTAGGTAGAAAACTCAAAAATAATAAAGTTGATAGAAAAAACAAATTATAGAGACAAATCAGAGATTAATCAATTAAAGAATATATAAAGAACAACCACTTCTTAAATAAATATTTCTTTAAATGATGTCGATAACAACAGCATGGAATATTCCTATTTCATGATTATAGTTTTACTCCATCAAATTATCAATACCACGTCAATACATAACCAAAAATGATGACCAAAATTACATATGCATTCTAGCCTAGGTTTCATTTAGCTGTCGCTTCACCTGGTATTTAAAATATAGGTGAGTAAAGCATTAGTCATTCATTTAGGTCAAGCAAGCATCCACACATACTAAACTCAACAAAATCCTAAGAAACTTTGGACTTGAAATCTACACATTCCAGAGTATTGATGCAAACCCATTCAAAAAAGTCAATTTCATTACAACTTACAAAATTCAATTCCCTGTACTCACAAAATGACGCATTGTTTACAGTTCCATGGTCAAATCTACAAGAATTGACTTAAAGATATGGATACATGATTCAACAATTTGAAAAAGATTGGAGTCAAATACAATGAGAGAAAAGCTCAACCCATTTACAACCCACGATAAGCAAAATCGGCCAGAGTCAGAAAGTTAGATTTAGATTTTCCCAAATCTAAGTCAGAGAATTTAAACTGAAGGCTTAAAATATGATCACAATTGAATTAACATATTTGGCAGGATAGATCAGAGTTTAAAAAAAAAAAAAAAGAACCCCCCATTACATACAGAGAACGAGAAGTACGCGAAGCATGATTCGATAAACCCCCCATTACATACAGAGAACGAGAAGTACGCGAGGAAATCTCTGCAGGCTTAAAATATGATCACAATTGAAGCATGATTCGATACAGAAAGAACAGTGAGAACACTCGGAAAGCATGAAATCAACATTTACGACTGAAGCAGAGAACTCAGATTCCACAGTGACATCAACAGATTCCAAGCTTTACTTACCATCTCTGACTTCCATCTGGGGAGCTGAGCTCGATGAAATCTCGGAGCTCGACGGCAGCGAGCTGGTTGCAGCACCTTGCATTCTAATTGGAGGAAGCAAGAGAGACTAAGGCGGGGACAGAAGGCGAAGAAGGCGGGTGGGCTGTTCGAAGATACCGCGTCAGGGAAGTAAACGAAGCTCTTTAGACCGTTGGATTAAAAAGGATCGGACGGGTAAAGGCTGGTGAGCGTGGACAAAGTAGATACCACAATTTTTTGAAGTGAGTTTATTTGGTGATATCTAACTCTTAATATATATTTATATATACATATAATTGAATCAAGTAAAAATCTCAATGCAATATTTAAATATAAAATCTTAAACTTTTAATTGGAAATCTTTCAAATTTTGATTTGAGTAAATTATTCAATGAGATAAGTGGCAACACCTATAATTTATTAATATGTGTTCCTATAAGCTCTAATCAATCATATGAACATACTTAAAAATATCATGATATTGAGAGGCCAAATAATCATCAAATTTTACTTGATTATTACGAAATTAAGGGGTTCAGTGAAAATATTCTAAAGAAGCCAGCATCACTCGATTATAACTATATGAGGAGAAGATAAGCTTAGGTTATTTGATTGTGTTACAAAATCCATAAAAATTGCTAAATCCAATTTTTATGGATTTACCTATCTCACGCCTAAACTTTCATTTTTACACATATAACAATTTACCTATGGATGAAAAGATGGATTTGACTATTAAAAAGCGATAATGAGTGTTACTTTTTATATGATATTTGTAATTATGAAAGTATATGTGTGAGATAGGTAAATATGAAAGTTTTGGATGCTATGTATGTAAAAGCCCTTTTATTTTTAATATAAAAATAAAAAACATACAAAAAAGTACTAAACAAATATGTTTTTAAAATAAATATAAATATAATCATAAACAAACATGATCCCAAACAATGTGTAAGTTAGGATGCAATTTTATTATTATTATTATTTTATGATTTCTTAGATAAAAACTCTTTTACCATCTATGAAATTCTTTTATCTATCTGTGTAGACATTTGTGCAACTCAAAGATAAAAAATTCTCACTCTAACTCAATAATAATATTTTTAGCATGCAAAAATCTGGTGCCATCTATAAAAAACACTCATAGTATGCTAAAAGCACTTCTATGAGATAGTTGATAGGAGCAACGCTAATCATAATAAGTTTTCACTCCAAAAAGTATAAATTTAAGAACCACACTTTCAATTGTGGACAAAATAATCTAGTTGGTGATAATCCCCATACTTAGCTAAGAGGATTATCTTTTATCTCTTAAAAGAGGATTGTAAAGTGAGAGTGACATCACAATATGATGGTTTTGCTTCCCATAAAATCAATAATAGATAAATGCTATTCAGTTTGAGGGCACTTATGTATGATGCGTCATATGAAGTATAAGGTGACGATGCAAAACAAATGGGCCAATAAATAGATGGTAAGCCAAGAAAATAGAGATCAAACAAATGGGCCAATAAATAGTTGAAATCAAGTGTTTTTTCATGGATGTAGCTAACGTTGTTTTGGATTATATGGTTTTACGTGTTTTCATGTTTTGTGGAACATTATATAATATTTCTAAGACATTTTAAGTAGCATTATGATATCTTAGTTGAGTGTAAGTGTCTAGCCAAGCCTATGATGAGGTAGTTATGCTTGTTACTCCCAATGAGTAAACCCTTGCATTTTTTCCCCCTTAATTTTTCAATTTGAATTTAAAGTGTTAAAGGTCTATTTATGTAATATTATCTAGAATAAAAAAAAAAAGATTTCGTTGTCACCAAATACTCTTATTTTATTTTGAGTGTTAAACTCAAAGTAGAAAGCTTGGTGGCTTATTCCATAAGGAGAGCTTGCTTGTTTGAGTAGTCTTTATCATATAATACTTTGATAGGTAGATGTATTTCATATCTTTGATTTTTATTTCCTTTCATTTTATTGTTCCAAAATCATTCAAAAGTATCCCCTATACTGTTTCTAAAAAAATTTCTCCGTTTTAATCTAAAAGAAGATCTTATGACATGTCATGTTGTATTCAACCAAAGGAAGAAGACATCAGAACCTAGTGTTATTCTCATGACCTTTTGGAGCATTTATACCTTTCCAAAAATTCACATAAACTCCAAAATTACTATAAACATACCACAACATCAACACCTATAATTTTATCCCTTGACTCCAACAATTAATCCATCAATTAAAGACATGAAAATTACTCCAAGATTTTAAATAGGGTAGGGTTTCCACTCAGCTAGCTGATTTATATTCCCTTTCTCCTATCATAAGAGCATTATTAATTTATGAAAAGAACTCAAGGTACCATTTAGAGGAAACAATTAACTTGTCAAACATATTACCTAACATTCTCCTTTAAAAAAAATTGTGAATAGACTCAAAAGTTTAAATCATTCAAACTTGGCTCATGTTAACCTAATTTTGAGTTTGTATCCGATTCACCAATCAAAATCCCTTAGATTGGAACCACCAAAAACATATTAGACACTCTTATATACAACTTTTAAGAGTTTTGATAGAAATTACCTTTTATTAAGATGTCATTACGGTCCATCTTTGATCATCTTGATACTTTTATTGTTTTATTTGGTACTTTTTGGTTTGTTTCATTTTTGTCTTTTTTATTCATCTTCTAAAACTCACAGACCAGTAAAAGACTTACTAACTTTATTTATATAAATAGTTATTAGAAAAGAACTCCTGGCTTACTACCATACCAAATTTTATATAATTATCTTTTCAATGTATTTTTTGAGATAATTTGTATTGTTCCTAATTCCCGATGTGAGGATTTTAATTCTTGGAATGTGACGCTCAAATATATCATTAATGATTTTTTTTTTTGAAACTCCTTATACATTCAACTGTCAGATGTCTATTAAGCTAAAAAAGTTGGGCACAAACACCATATGTCTTTATGCATTTGATAGTTTCACTGTAAAAGCAAAGCAAGATTTTATCCCTAAATCTCAAGAAGACCTACCTCGCAGACTAAGGTCTATTGCACATTACTAATTTCTATTAACATATACAGTGAAGGATGAGTAATGGCCTAGTTTTTTGCAATTCATCTTGCCTTATCTATAATATTTTGAGAGAAATGTCGAGTAATGACTTAACTCATTCCGATCATCTATTGCTCTTTAATACTAAATTAACTAGCAAATTTCTTTTATTCAAAGACTGGCAAATTTCTATTATTCCAAGACTAGCAAGGACATCCATCCTCTTTACGATATCGTTCTTGTGCTCTTAGAAAGTGTAAAAGACCAAAAGAAAAGGATATGTACGTTGTAGCATGGGTAAGGAAAGTGAAAGAAGGGACGACAACTAAGTTTTGGCATGAACAACAAGATGATGGTGAATCAGAAGAGCAATTTGATATTTTCTACCGTCAAATAACAATAGATAACAAATTGGACAACAAAGGAGGCATTTGAACGTCTTTAAGAGTTCATTACCTTGATCTTATTGAGTTACATACACAAAACCTGAATTAAATGCAGGGGTACAAAACCCCAATAGATTAGACCATGAGAAATATCTTCTAATAACTTAACAAAGTCAAAGATTTCTAAACAACAAAAAAAATAATATATATATATATA